TTTCTTTAATTTTGAACAAAACTAAAATTTTCATTACTGAAATAAATATTTCTCCAGACAGAAAAGTAAATTGAAAGACTCACAATTTATGCTATGCAAATCAAATATGTGGATTTAGAGCCTATCTCTAATGAAAATTTCAATCCCTCTTAAGTATTTAAGCAACAATCATTCTTTTCCCATCAGCTTTGTAACACCTATTACTTTGTTGGTGGGATGACCAGGTTGCTGTGTCACTGAAGAACGAACACTAAGCAATATCAAATCCGCATCTGAACAACTTCAGTGGGACTAGTACTCTGTCTTATTCGTCAACTGTTACAATATCCTGATTTTGTTACACAAGTTAACTTTCTTTGTATTATGTAGTTTCTATCAATATTTCTATTACAATAACGAGACGATCCACATTTGATTTAGACAGGCTATTCAGACCCTTTCCCTCTGTTTGATTAGCAATGTTGTTAAAAATATACAAATAATTAAAATATACATTTTAAAAAGCAGCTCAATCAAAACTCCATCCAGAATATTGCCAAAGAGCAATATTTTCAACTCAGTAGGCCAGATTTCAGGTCTACTTATGAAAACTCTTAAATATCTCAAAGGTGGGCATATATTTTACCTGCACTGTGACAGGAATGATCATGAGGATGTATTGAACTGAATTCTCCCACCACACATGACTCGTTTCCCCAAGATCAAAGTAGACACTACAAGATAGAGCAAAAGCTACAGTCTCAGGCTAGAAAGAATATTTTCATGTTTTCTACTTTAATAATTAACTGTTACACATTTTCCTGTTTGGAGTCAACAATAAAATGCACACATCCTCCATTTGAACCACTGGGTGGATTCTCTGATTTCTCCATAATACTGACCTAGGAGATCTGGGAGTAATTAAAAACAAATTTCAAACTTTAAGATACATCCAAAAAGACTACTTACAGACCAACAGGAGTCTAAAATATGCACACTGAATTAAAGACTACAAAGATAAACAGATCAGAGAAATCCATAAGCTTATATAGAAAAAATATATCTGAGAAGATCTCCATACTAGCCTTCACCCGTCCAACCTACAGATCCACACTTTCCATTTCCTTTCCAACCACACCAACAGATGCCCACGGCGTAATGAAAGCTCACAGTCTGTCAACTACTCTTTGGTGTACCCCTCACAGTTCTACTCCCAAAGGCTGAGTTGTATGTTCTCCCAAAACCAGTAGTATTTATTCCAAAACCCCATTAGGGGAGTTCTATCATTACTGTAATTAGCTAATTAATTAAACATTAGATAAACCATGAAACCAAAAACAAAAGGTATCTTTAAAACTAAGGTCAAAACTTTGAAAAGAGTTGATAAAGGCAAGTTACTATAAAACATTTCTGTTGCAAGAGGCAAAGGTAAGAGAATATAAAACTGAGGTAAAGCATAAAATATATAGTGCTTCTTAAACTTTAGCATGGAGGCTGTGTGAAAACATGCATTGCTGGGCCTCATTCCCTTAGATTCTGACTCAATAGGCATGGGGGAAACCAAAGATTTTACATGCTGGCAAACTCCTACATGATGCTGATGCTGCTGGTCTGGGAACTGCACTTTGAGAACCATGGCTTTTCAACTGTCTAAATTTTTAATCTACATTAAAGAACAAAATATAAACTTGAAATTGTTATGAATACAGATTTATAAAAGACTTGAAGTTCCAATTAGCAAATCTATATACTACAACGAAAGGCCTTGGGCCTAATGAAAAGACAGTTCATTCATATGTTAGTGAGATATACACATCATTTTTTATGGTCTACTATTTTAAATGACTTTTTCAGTTAATGTATAAACTATGAGTACACTATACTAATATAGTTTATACTAGTATAGTTTATACTAATGTATAAACTATAACTCAAATTATCTGAAGAGATCTCCTGTCAAATATGGTTCATAAAAGTACCACTAGAGTTTGAAATTTCCTTCACCTTCACTATTTGTAAGGAGGAAATTCTAATGTGATAGCCTCCTTGGTTAAAAGGCTTCCTAAAAATACAAGTTCACAGTATCAATGAAGCCTTAAAAATAAAAGCTATCATGATCTTCAATTTACAGATGAGATTTCTGCCTCAGGGAGGATAAGAAACATCTAAAGGTAAGTCAGCCAACAAGTACAAGAGTAGAAAGTTGAATACAGATCTGCCCCCAAATTTAATGTGTTTCTTTTTTTTTTCAACCTTACAATATTACAGTATAGTCTTTAAAAGAGAGAAGTTAGAAGCAACTTGAGGCCCCAATACATCTAAACACCTTCAAAACAAAAAATGCTCAAATATATATAGCTGTGAGAACTAAATGAATCATAAGCATTATTATATCTACTGTTTTGAACATAATTGTAAATATCACCTATAAGCTATACTTACTATTAAATGCCTAGACAGGATCATCAAATACAGGGCACTAGAAGGGAGCCAATCTACCAACAATGAAGCAGTCTTTGGCAACACAACTCCACTTAGCAAGATATCTGTGAAGAATGGCTCACAGTAAGATTCACAAGCAGATGCCACAGGGTAAGTGAGGTGGAGACAACCAAGTTCAGAGAGAGCTGCAGAACACATTGGATACACACTGAAGTAACACATTCCAAGACGGGGCATTTATGGACTGCTTGGAAACCAGAGCAGACAAGCCAGCCCAGTGACAGCAATCATTATGATGATGCTATTAAGGCAAGTTTATAATTTTAGAAACTATAAGTAGAGACAAAAAGAACTGTGCCTCACCATTTCTGTTAAATGGTGAAGAAATTCAAATGTCCAGTTCTATACCATATTCAACACTGAATTCCAGGATCCAGCTCTTTCCATAGGTTTGGGACATTCTCGTCAACTGTTTGAAGCAGCTTTCTGTTCCCTCCTCCCTATCTTTTCCTTCTGGTATACCCATTATTCTTATATTGCTCTTTCTGATGGAGTCAATGTAGTTTTCATAGTATTCTTTTATTTATTTTTTATTTTTTGGAAAGAAGCTCAACTGCATTAGCCATTAGTGAAATACAAATAAAAACTGTTAATACATTGAGACACCAACCCATACCTGTTAGAATGCCTCTTATTAAAAAGACAAGTAGTAAGAAGTAACAAGTACTAGAAAAAGAAACCCTCATTCACTGTTGGTGGGAATGTAGATTGGTACAGCCACTCTGAAAAACAGTACAAAAGTTCTTCAAAAAAGAAAAAAAGAAGGAAAGAAATTAAGACTAGAGGTACCTTCATATGACCAAGGAAACCTTCTTCTGGGTATCTAACTGAAAAATTTGAAAACGTTTATTCATAAAGATATATGACTCTATGTTCACTGCAGCATTATTCATAGCAGTTAAGACAAGGAAACAACCAAAGTACCCTCCAATAGGTGAATGGATAAAGATGTGGTACATATGGATACAATGGACAACTAATCAGCCATAATAAAAGGTGAAATACTGCCATTTGCGACAACATGGATGGATCTTGAGAACATTGTGCTAAGCAAACTAAGTCAACTGGAAAAAAGGCAAGAACCCTATGATTTCACTCATATGTGGAATATAAAACTGAAAGTAACAAACAAACAAAAACTCATAGACACAAGCAACAGTATGGTGGTTACCAGTGGGAAAGAGGGATAAGGGAAAGTAGTAAAGGGTAAAGGGGTCAAATACATGGTCACAGGAGATTTGACTCTGGGTGGTGAACACAATGCATATACGGATGATATGGTTTAGAACTGTACACTTGAAATCTATATAATTTTATTAACCAATGTCACTTAATAAAAATAAAAAAATAAACAATAACATAAAACTTAAAAATAACTAAAGGCATCTAGGTCCCTTAATAATGAAATATAATGAAATAAAATACTGGCCCCAAATGATGTTCTAGTGTTTGAGATCAGGGAAGTGTAAAGATCTGCAGTAATTGTAGGAAACCTCCTAAAGTAACTATTCTGTTTCTTTAAGAAATTGAAAAATGAGTAAATAAAATAAAGACTTAACATGTCAGCAGTAAGTTAAGAACCTAGGAATGGTTAGGATAGTCACTATAAATGTTTCTTAATGTTTTAAAAAACAAAATAATAAGTGTTGGTAAGGATCAGAGAAATTAGAGCCGCTGTGTACTGGTAATGGGAATGTAAATGGTACAACTATTATGAAAAACAGTATGGAAGTTCCTCAAAAAATTAACAGAATTGCTATATAATCCAGCACTTCTAGATGTACATCCAGAAGAATTAAAAACAAGATTTCAAACAGATATTTGTATACCCATGATCATTGCAGCATTAGCCACAATAGCCAAGAGGTGAATGCAACCTCAATGCCTATCAGTGGATAAATGGATAAAAAAATGTGGTATACAAACACAATGGAACATCACTCAGCCTTAAAAAAAAAAAAGAAAATCCTGTCATATGCTATAACGTGGACAAACCTTGAGGAGATTATGCTGAGTAAAAGAAGACAGTCACAAAAAAATAAACATTGCATGATTCTACTTGCAGTACATAAGACATCTAAAGTAGTCAAACGCTTAGAAAGTAGTTTGGCCATTACCAGAGGCTGAGGCAAGGGTGGAAAGGGAGTTATTCTTCAATGCGCAAAGGGTTTCAGTTTGTATAACGAAAAAGTTCCAGAGATCTGTTGAACAAATGTCCATATAGTTAACTCTATTGCACTGTACACTTAAAATGGTTAATACGGTTTAAAAAAACTAAGAATAAAAATGTCTTGAAAACTCTGGTAAGGTTAATAGAAGTATTAAAAGGTTTAATATTACTGAAGAAAACAAAATAGTCTCACATGAGTAGATTCAATTTTAATCACTGTAACCTCTTAATAATACCAATTTCCATAAGATTCTAGGATTCTATGCTTTAAATGTGTAATTTATAATGAAAAGGAGGTATACTGTATCAGAATTGTTTGGAAGTATTTTAAAATATTACTTATTCTCACCCAGAGAGATGCTCCCAGTTGAGTGAGCCATCATTACTGATGCAACTATGCTTTATTCTTCAACTGTGCTGGGACTGAAAACAGATTGAAAATTTCATTTTTAAATTATAGTTTAAATCATTTGTAAGAAAATTCATTTAAGTAAATTTTTCTATAATAAGGAAATTACATATATTGTTTGATAAATTAAACTTTCTTCATATCATAAAACTAAACATGGTTTTAACTTTCTAAAGGCAAATGTAGTAAATGAGGCAGCTTTAAATTACGTTGAAAAATCCATTTTGAGATCACATCTCCACTGAGCTAGGCACTTTTAGAAAATAGAACCAATAATATATAAAAAATGCAGACAAAAATACTTCTCATGACTTCTGAAATATTCTGCCCAGGTCATTTCTCTTTTCCACAGCCCATTTTTTCATGTATATTTATCTCCAGATGCCTTTTTCCCATGATCTCCTCTATTCCCCAGAGCCCTTTTTGTTCATCTTCTCTCCCTCCCCACACATTTAGAAGAAGAAAAGAACTGAACTCTCTATACCCAAATTTCAGAAACAAAATGAAGGATATCTTCAAGGGCATCTCTCATTTCCATACATAGCTGTTTCATCTCCAGGCAACAAAGGCACTTTTAAAAACTGAGGGATCATGAAACCTATTCACACTGACTTCACTTTGGTGCATTTTTCTCATACTATATTTGTAAAATCTATTGATAAGTGCCTAGTAGTATTGTAAAATTCAATCCGTAAGAGGATCCATGAACAAAAACATTCTACTGCTAACATTTCCTTAAAGATTACATAAATGGGCCCTGGCCAGATAGCTCAGCTGGTTAGAATACTGTCTGATATGCCAAGGCTGCAGGTTCAATTCTCTGTCAGGGCACATACAAGAATCAACCAATGAATATATAAACAGGTAGAACAGAAATCAATGCTTCTCTTTCTCTCCTCCCCAAAAACAAATGTTTAAAAATTTAAAGATTACATAAATACATTATTTAACATGAAAATTAGACACTATAACATTTATTCTTAAGAGTATATTTCAACTTTGTACCTTCTATTCCTTAATTCCTGCTTTCTTTGTGTTAAATAGATATTTTCTAATGCACTTTTTTCATTTCCTTGTTTCTTTCATTAAGTTTTTTTGTATTATTTCCTTAAGTGGTTGCCCTGGAATTTGCAATTAGCATTTTAATTTAAAACAATCTAGTCTGGCCCTAGCTGGTGTAGCTCAGTGGATTGAGCATGGGCCTGAGAACCAAAAGGTAGCTGGTTTGATTCCTAGTCAGGGCACATGCCTGGGTTGCAGGCCAGGTCCCCAATAGGGGGCATGAGAGAGGCAACCAAATATTGATGTTTCTCTCCTTCCCTTCCTCCTCTCTAAAAGTAAATAAATAAAATCTTTATTAAAAAATTTTTAAAAAGGACATCTTACCAAAATAAAATAAAAATAATAAATTCTAGTCTGAATTAATTCTAATTAATTACAAATACTTTCTTGTAATATACCTCCATTCTCTTATCTTTCTTTTTACTATTATCTTCAAACTATATCTCTATATATTATAAGTTCGTCAACACATTTTTATTATTCCTTCATGCAGTTGTCTTTAAAACAGGAGAGAAGTTCCAAGGAAAAATGCATTTATATGTATTTTTATGCATGTCTTTCCTAATAGTTATGTAGTTACTATTACTATTCTAGTTTCTCATGAGGGTTAGAGTTTGCTGTCTAGTTTCTTCTGTTTCAAATTGAAGGACTCCCCTTAACATTTCCTGTAGGGTAGGTCTACTGGCAACAACTTCTCTTTTTATTTGTAAGTGTCTTAATTTAATTTTTGAAGTTAAGCTAAATACAGAATTCCTGGTTGATAGACTTTTTAATACTTTGAAAATGTCTTCTAGACTCCAAGGTGTCCAGCAAGAAATCAGCTATTAGTCTTATTGGGGATCCCTTTTTTATTTCTTTTTCTCTTTCTGCTTTCAAATTTTTTTTCACTTTTGTAAATTTGAGTATGACGTATCTAAGTGTGTATAGCTATACAACTTGAAATACACTGAGTTTACTGAATGTGTTAATATTTTTCATTTCAGTTTTCCGCCGTAATTTATTTAAGTATTCTCTCTGTCTCTTTCTTTTGCTCTTCTCCATTTGGGACTCCCGTTGTACATATGTTGGCGCACTTGATGACATCACATTGATCCCATGCAGCTCTGTTCATTTTCTTTATTTTCTTACTACTCCTCACAATGGATAATCTCTAATGAATTATCTTCAAGTTAACAAATTATTTTATCTGTCAATTTATACTTGTTAAGCTCATGTAGTCAGTTTTTCATTTCAGTCATACTTAAAAACTCCACAATTTTTATATGGTTCCTTTTAGATAACTTCTACATTGATTGATATTCTCTTTGGCAAGACATCATTCTTATACCTTCATTTAATTCTTTAGACATGCTATCTTTCATTCTTTGAACAGATTTAGAAAAGCTGTCTTAAAGTCTTTTCTATTAAGTCCATATCTAGGCACCCAAAGGGACATTTTTCCCTTGGTCGATTTTTGCATGTTTTTTTTTCCTATGTATGTGGCATACTTTCCCGTTTCTAGATCTCATAATTCTTTGAGTTTCAGTTTGAGTCTTCAGAAGACTCAAAATTCTTTTGAGTCTTCAGTTTTCTGTTGAAAACTGAACATGTTATAAAATGTATTTTAACAACTCTAGTATCAGAATTCTCTACACTGCTCTACCAAGGCTTTTTAACATTGATTTTGTTTTTATTGATGCTGATTATTTGTTTAGCACTCTCATGAACCAATTCTGTAGATTCGGCATTTATTGCCTGTAGTGTGTGGCCACTGAGCTCTCTGCTAAATTATTTTTTAAGTTCTTATTTTTATTTTTAAGCCTGTCTTCCTAGGAGTCAAACAGGGTCAGTATAATTTAGTGATCAACCAATGACTGGTCAGAAGATTTCCTTAAATGCTTGGCTGTCTGTCTTCTACCTTTGCTCAAGGAATCTTTAAGAGAAGTCCCACTTCAATCTTCAGGCAGTTTATAAAACAGCCCTAATCTTCATTTTCTACTTATATAAAACTTCAGCCAGAGATGATCTCCTTTCCCAAGTCTTCCCTGGGAATGTGTACACTCTTGCACATTGTGCGACCTTTTAGATACCCAGGAATATGGTGGAGCTTTTCAAAATACCTATGGTTGGCTGAATCTACGGGATTCCTTTTAAAATCCTGTCCAGACTCTTTGCCCAAACTGAAATCACAGCCTTAAGCAGTGGGTGTGTTGCCAACAGTTGCTATTGTTTCAGCAAAGCCCTGGGGGTAGGCTTTTTCTTCCCTCAACTGAGCTGAGGTCCAAGTCAAATCAAATAGCCAACCACTCAGAGAATAGTTTTTCCCAGGGAGCTGCAGCTTGGACAAAATAACAACTGTGCTTTGGAGCGGCTTTTAGTGGATCTCCAAAAGTAGTAAGATCTCTTCATTGCCTGTAATGCTGTCAGCTTTTGCTATATCACTAAGCTGGGGATGGAGAGAAAACAGAAATCACCTCAAGTTAAAATGTCACAGACCCCACCATTTTCTCAAGATTCGGTAGCTTTCTCTCAGGCAGTGGATTTTCAGTTAATTCTCTGGTTTTGGTTAATTTCCAGAATTCTAAAATGGTTTATTGTAATTATTTTGCCCATGTTCTTGTTGTTTTAGAGGGAGAGCAAATATACTGAGGCCCTCACTCCATTGATCTAAAAGCCAATCAAGCTCTGAAATATTAAATCTATCTTCATGTAGTTTTTAAAACAAAAAAACACTTTAACAAAAAATTTGTTTAAAATACACTTATAAAATGTTGGATCACTGAGTCTCATCTCCAGTAGAAACATGAAAGAATTATATTTCAATAGGAGAGAAACTAATCTTTGAGAGGGAAAAAATAAACTGCATGAGCAATGTCTCACTGTACTGTATCTTTCCTGCTAATATGTAAATAATCAAAAATAAGATGATTCCTGGTCTGAGATCCACTCTCAGCCCCAGAATACTTTCCCAAATGTTTTCTGGATACAGAAATCAGTTCAAATGAGCAAGAAAGACTATTTTATCTTGTCTTACTTGGCTGAGATAGGCCAAATCCAATTCAACTCTAACAGTGATAAAGTAGTCACAAAAGACTGGGAGTGAGAAATTTAACAGAGAAGAGGAATCAGATCCCTGAACAGAGAGCAACCCTATCACCGGAGATTTCTCTGAAGAGATTCAGTACAGGATATTGGTTTACCTCAGATTCAACCAAGTATCAGCCAACCCCATGTAGTTTGTGGTAGAATAAGGTGAATTTCTGTAAAGGAAAAGAGTAGTTTATTACTATTATCTCTCTTCAATATTACCTGATATTTGTAAGCCATGGAAAGACCAAAACTGTCAGAACAGGACAAGAAAAGTAAATATCCTTTAGCAAAGCTTTTATTTTCAAGAACATGTCATGCTCCATTTTGTTGTTGTTTAAGAAACTGTCCCAAAACCTCTGGCTCAAGAAAAGAATCATTTTCTTCATTCATAATTCTGTAGTCTGAGCTGGGCTTAGCTAGGCCGTTCTGCTCAGCCTGCTGATGGTCACCCATGATAGCTTTCAACTGACAGGTGGGAAGTGGGCTCAGCTAGAATACTAGGATAACTAGGCTTCTCTTTCCACATAATCTCAGGGCCTCTCTGTATCCATGTGACCTTTTTTCCAAATGGTCTCTCTGGGAAGGTAGCCAGATTTCTGACATGATTATTCAGGTCTCCAAAAAACACAAAAGCAAAAGCTACTTGGCCTTCCTAGGGCTTACACCCAGACCTGGAACAGTTTAATTCTGTTGCATTCTATTTGTTAAAGTAAGCTACAAACCTGGTCCAGACTGAAAGGAAAGGGTCTTCACAAGGACATGAATACCCAGAAGTGTGATTCACTGTAACCACCACCAATGCTACAGACAGTGATTTCCATCCCCTTTGCAATACCCAACTAGTTAGTCAGGGGTATTGACCTCTCAATCTGTCAAAAAAAAAAAAAATGACAACAGTCAACACAATAGCTGTGAATGTCCTATCTTGAACCATAAATACATAGGTCACATAACAGAGTTACATCTTACTGTTCATGTCACATAAGGTTGTGCCCCATTGGTTAATGCTTTTATTTATTTATTTATTTAAATACTCACCCACCCAAGGATATGTTTATTGACTTGAGAGAGAAGGGAGAGAGAGAGACATCAGTATGACAGAGAAACATCAATGGGTTGCTTCCTGTATGTGCCCCAACCGGGAATGGAACCTACAATCTAAGTATGTACCCTGACCAGGGATTGAACCCACCAGGGTTGATTGGTTAATTCCTGGTACCAGAAATCCTTATACACAAGTATAGGCACCTGATTTTTTAGAAAGCCACCTTGGAGTAAAATGGGTAGGTAAACACTATTTTTTAACAAATCAATCAAAATTCTATCTTGTGTTTTTGTCAGATTGACAAAAAATACATTTTTTGGTGTGCTGCAGATTTTTAGTAATTAATTTACATGTGTCATGAGATGAAGAAGGTTGAAAATCACTGCTGCAATAAACTAAAACATTAAGGCCAATGTTCACATTACTAAAACAGGAAAAACAGAAGAAACTATAAAATGGCTAAAGCTAAGGGAAGACTGGGCAGTTATACTCAGACCTCATTCTCGTGCACTCCCACAATGAGTGTCAAACTAGATTCACTGAGAATCTTAAACATAGGTGGAAGGAAAATTTGAACCTGATTAATCACTTATAAGCCATATGACTTTGGACAAGTCATCTTTCTATCTCAGCTCCTCAATTGTAAAGTGAAAAATAAAACAACAAATAAAAAAGCTTTGAAAACTAAACTGCTATACAAATATATGAAAGTATTATTTATATAATAGGATTCTAAGCATAGACAACTGAGCTGGGCTCAATTCTATTAATAAAATTATAATAATCATAGTTAATTAACCCATGTGCTAAATTACTACCACAGCAATGTTATCACATATAACAATAGGCTAAAATTACACTATGTTCAGTTACTATAAAGAGTAACAATGCCAACACTAACTGACTTATTGTTTTCTGACTATACGTGTATGTCAGGTGCTGCTATGTACTCCAGGTAAAACTATAACTAACCCTTACAATAACTCAACAAGATAGGCATTATCCCTCTTTTACAAATAAATAAACTGGGTCAAAATATCAATTACTTAAGTAACCTGCCCATGGTCACACAGCTAGTATACAGAAAATCTACTATGAATGTTTAATGTACAATCAGTACTTGATAAATATTTGTTGTCTAAGTTAATGAAGAAATAAAGAAAGCCTGGACTATATGACACTTAAAGCAAGGAGTCTTTCAACTATATCAAAATATCTCACTCTCACAATTCCATGTAGCTACTGAAACTGTAATCATAGTAAACATATCTAATTAACAACAGTAATTTATCACCTTCCTCATCTGCAAAATGGTTTCCCATCTAAAAAGTAACCTTCATGTTTTTAAAGATCTAAATCTTTATCCCATCTACTGAGTCTTTATGAGTCATATATTATAATGTAGAAATACCAAGTGGAAAAAGTGGTACATTTATATAACAAAATATCTCTAAAATAATACCAAAAAAGCAAATATTTTAAATGGTAAAATATGTGCAGTATCAATAACAAATAAAAATTCATATCCTTATATTAGGAACAGGTCTTGAAATTTAAAAGGAGGAGGAGGATTAGAAGAAACTGTCCAACAGAAAAATGGGCTAAAGATATAAATGACAATCAGTAAAATAAATACAAATGGCTAATAAATATGTTTTTTTTAATTTTTTTAGTCATTAATTATCAAAAAATGCAAATCCAACTAAGATTTTTTTAAACTATCAGATTGGGCAAAAAACAAAAAAATAAAAAGAAAACACAAAATTTGATAATGCCCAGTCGAAAAAAATAAATGTGTGTGTGTGTGTATTAAATCACTATTGGGAGTTTACAATGGCATGACCTTTTTAGAGAGCAATTTAGTAGTTGATTGAAACATTCAAAATGTACCCACATCTTCTAGCCAACAATTCCATTCCTAAAGATTCATATAATGGAAGTAAATGGACAGTTGCATAAAAGAGTACATATAATTAATCATAGTATCAAAATACAAGATACCACCTAAATGCCTAGCTAGAGAATTGCTTAAGTAAATGATACATTCATATAACACCAATAGATATAAAATATTATCATAAAAGATGTTTAAGACATGATTATCAAAATTAAACAAATTCTATGACCCCATATTTATAAGACCTGCATTTGTAGAGGAGAGAGAGGACATGTCTGAGCAGAAGCACACTCAAGAGGACCAGAGTGAGCACAGAGGCACACACTGAGACAGGCCCTGAGAAAGTGTGGTAGCAATCTTGTGAGCAGATATGCAACCATCAAGCAGAATGATTTTTTTTGCTTTCTTCTTTGTAACTTTCTGAGTTTTCGGAATGTTTTACATTGAGTATATGTAACTTTCGTGATCTTAATACAATATAATTATTTTTATTTAAAGTAATGTCAACTGTGCCCTGGCCAGATGGCTCAGTTGGTTGGAGCATCGTTCCATACACCAAAAGGTTGCAGGTTCAATTTCCCGTCAGGGCACATACCTAGGGTGCAGGTTCAAGCCTCAGTTGTGATGCTTATTGGAAGCAGCCATCTGATGTTTCTCTCTCTCACATTGATGTTTCTCTTTCATTCTCTTTCTCTTCCCCTTCCTCTTTGTCTAAGATCAATAAAAACATATCCTCGGGTAAGCGCTAAATAATAATAATAATATTGTCAACAGTCATAAACCTGAGACTCTATAAACTTTCAAGTGTTATTTTTAATATAAAATACTGGTTAACAATCAGTTGACGTGGGTACTGAATGAATATGTGCATTCATTCCTCTTTCAAATGATAGATTCAAAATCAAAATCCTTTATAGTAGTTTCTATCTTCAAATCATTTAGAATTTGTAATTTCTTTAATAAAGTCACTTCAGCCCTAACTAGTGTGGCTCAGTTGGTTTGGCATCTTTCCACAAAGCAAAAGGTCTACAGTTTGATTCCTGGTCAAGGCACATGCATGGGTTGGAGTTCGGTCCCCAGTGTGGGCACACGCATATGAGAGGCAACTGATAGATGTTTTTCTCTCACATCAATGTTTCTCTCCCTTTCTTTCTCCCCCCACTCCCCTCTCTCTAAAAATAAATAAATCTTTTAAAAACATTAAAAAATAAAAATGTCACTTCAAAATTTAAAAGTGAACTAGAAATGTTTATGTGCTATAAAATATACATGGTATAAGTATGCTACATTATATGTCTTTGAAAAATAACTTGTATGTATAAAATCTCAGAGACTTTGATTCCATAGCTCAAAAAAATCTAATATTACTTGGTATGTTAAATTGGAAGCCTAACTTATACTTATTTCTTGTACAGTATAATGAGAATTCTCAACTAGCCACGGGTAAGATTATCCACAATTAACTTTGCTTTTTTAAAAAAATCCTCACCCGAGGACATGTTTATTGATTTGCGGGGGGCGGGGGGGGACAGAGAGATATAGAAAGAGAAAGCAAGGAACATTGATGTGAGAATCATCAATGGGTTGCCTCCCCTATGCTCCCCGACTGTGGATCGAACCCACAACCTAGGAGTATGCCCTGACCAAAAATCGAACCTGCAACCTTTTGGTGTACAGGTGATGCTCCAGCTAACTGAGCCACCCAGGCAAGGTACATAATTAACCTTGCTTTTTAGTTTAGCTATTGTACTCACAGGGTAAGCAGTTTAGTTATTTGTTTTGTAGTTCTCTCCATTCTATTTACTTTTGCATTTACTGTATTTTACTTTCCAGGGGGAAAAAAAGACAAAATAAATTATACAGCTTGGATAGTGGATGGGCAAGTGGGCTGCTACTATCCTCAGGACTGAGTGTGAATAACACCCAGATATACCACTACTACCCTGTTTCCCACCTAGGGACTTTGGAAACTTTAGAGACTATTTTGGTTGCCACAACTGAGGAGCTAGAGTGGTTCTAATGCCACTTTGGACCACATTTGCTTAAACATGGTGCTACTTCGGGACCCTACCAAGAACAGTCCCATCCACAATGACAATAGTGTCTCTGTTAAGATAGGGATAATAATTTTCCTGTTCAATATTATATTTCTAGACTATTACACGGCAGGCATTAAATATAATTTGTTGAATAAAGTCAAAACAAGCAATTTCTAGCTTGAATGATAAACAAATGATAGAAAATAATGAAGACTGACAATAGAGAAACTTGACAGTTTTCTATCTCAGCTGGAGACAGGACTTTGTGACTATGCTCCATAATCTTAGGGGAATTCTACGATCACACACATCTATCCAAAATATGTAGAAAAGCATAATAGTCCACATCCAAATACAAATTATAAGAGGATTATCTTCCATTAAAATATATAGGCATATGCCTTCCTCTATTAGTAAAGCTAAGCAACTGGGTCAACTTAAGACGTACACACTGGTACCAACAAACCTCAATCTTGCCGTGGCAACTGAGTGGCAAAGCAGCTTTGTGGTTTAAGAGTCTGGGCTCTGAAGTAAGATCACTGGGTTTAAATTTGGCTTCACTGCACTTTACCTGAGTAATTTACTTAACATCTTAGCATACCATTCAAATCTTGTCAATTTACTTAACTTCCTCTAGTACTAGTGTTCTCATATACAAAATAATGAAACAGGTTCACAATACCCTAATTTTTAGCCCCTGGGGCAGATATGTCACATGACTTAGAAATTTTTGAATTTTAGGAAGTAATACATATATATATACATAACACCCCAGATGGATCTAGAGCAGCAATCCATAATCATAACATTATTTCTGTACCTAAATGAAGGATAAAGACCATTAAGTAGCTGTATCTCATTTAGTGCAGGTTTTGCAGCTAAATTAGTTTTGACACAAACAGGGAAGCTGGTGATTTTTAGAGCCTTTTGAAATTAGGAAGTGAACATAAGGGATCATGGATCTGTGGTACCTACTTCTCTCAGACTGATAATGTGAAGATTAAGTGAGTATATATAAACTACTTACCCAGTGCTTCTTACATAGGTAGCACTTAATAAATATTAGATACGGTTATAAAAGTATTAAATGAGATGCATGACTATCCAAGATACCAACCACCAACCGTAGTCAGCTGACTTGTATAGCTAGGGTGGTAGACAGGGGTAGGGGTAAGGAGTGGTTAAAAGGAACCCTAATACAGTTCTTATGCTAATTAAAGTTAAAGAAATGAGAGCTGACAGACCCGGAATTGAAAGAAAATAATGCATTCATGACATTGCTCTTTTTAAACATTTACTTCCTTTTGATAAAAGGGAGTTTCTCCAGGTGTTAAAACCTGAAGGCATTTCACATTTTCTGCTTTTCAAGTGGTTGCCTACTTACAACTCTACATGGCTTTCTTCCTGAAAGTTTGTCTGATAATGAAGCTTTTGCTCAGGGTAGGACCAAGACTGGTTTCTCCTTAATGTAACAAAGCAGTTAAGTTCTTGTTGACTACAGCAGAATACAGTAAAGTTTAAGTTAAATAGTAAATGCAAAAAATATGCTGAACCCCATCTCGCAAATATGTCCATTTGTCCCTTCCCTGTTCTATTGTTTCCTGATCCAACTTCTAGAGAAACTGTAAGACTTACAGGGGAAATGAAGTAACCCAGCATTGTTAAGTGCTACACTGTGCCAAGCATTGAATTATGCACTGCAATATGTATCCCTTATTTACTTTTATGACAATTTTATGTCTTCTTTATGATGATTTAAAGTCATCCTTTCTATAATTTAAGCTCATTAAGTAATTTTCACAAGTTTTCCAGGCAACAGTTATTATTCCCTTATTATATAAGGATATTGACTTAATAACTGGGGGGAACTAAGATTCAAGCTCAGGTTTGACTAACTCAAAAACCCATGGGCTGTTTGCACTAGACTGACTTGCCAAAGGACAGAGCGTCATTCTCACGGTCCTGACTAACTAAACTATTGGCTTCTTTTGTATTTCTATCAAGTATTTTTAAAATGTACAGAAGATGGAATTTATATTATCTCTTTGATTATGGGCATTTTAGTTCTTTCTATAATGCAAAATTTTAAAGCACTTGCAATTTTTAACTTACTTTATCTCTGAAAAAATAATAAAAGGATATCCATAAATTACATGTATTATCTTTAGTTATAAAAGCATACTTATGTGCATATTGCATTACATTTCCAAGAAATTACAGAGCAATTATAGTCAAAAAACTTTAAATTTGGTGGAGACTTTAAAGATAAAATGTATGTTTAGCTGAATAACCATTCTGGTCATGAAGATTTTTTATATGGTATGACCTCCCAAATAGCTCTACCACCACTCCGGAATTTAATACTTTTTAGGGGGTATCTTCTTTATGACTAATTAAAATCACCCTTTCTATAATTTAAATTCATTCTATTTAGGTCTAGCTTTCTAGGAGATACAAGGCTCTCTTTAACACACTTGTCATTTTGCTGCTTCATTGATTTTTGCTGAAAGTTTGTGACAAAAAAAGAGAAATACAAATAAATTTGAAAACAGATTTTAAGTTTTTCTCCTCCTTTCCCTAGACTAAATAAGTAACTTCCATGGCTTGAATCTGCCTTCACTCCTATCAATACCCATTTTTACTTCCCTTTTCAGTGCTGCTCCATGTTGGAAATGAACTGTGGAAAAAATAACTAAACACTATTACCATGTTTACTATAGCATTCTAACAGATCAATGACGAGCTTAAGAAAAATAATACTCCAGAGTCATGCTCATTTTTAAAAGTGCAAAATTATTGACACATATTCAATTTGTAGAATGCTATGATTGGAGTCTAAACAATTACTCTAGTCTTAAATTTGTGTGATTAACTTTTAACCATTATTAAAGTTCACATTTTTGTTAGACCACTGATTGGATCTATTTTCTATTTGCAGGTAATTTCATAGATTTTTACAATGTAATTAGGCTTATATGCATACTTAGTTAAGGTGAAAATATATTTTCGAATCCATTATTATCAAAGACTCTAGAATTCTATATGATGAAGGAACCATTCCTTAACACTATTCCCATTATTCATAAATGTGACTATAACCTAGAATTTTCAAGGTTCTATACATATACAGTAGTTTATGGAAATTACTTTTAAGAGCCAATCTAACAGGTTTGAGATTATAAAATTCAAGCAATATTTTAAGTTGTATAAAAATGATGATGCTTATTAGTGTCACTTTATGAGGAAAATGTGTTTAAAATGCAGATTATCTTTTAATTCTTATCACATCTTTTATATTTTAAATACTAAACTATTACTATTTTAAAACCAACTGTCATTGGCCCTGGTAAAAAGCTAATATCTTGTGTATCCTGTGTACTATGTTAATTCAGTACATGTTAGTTGAAAAGAAACAGAAATAAAGAAAATGTCAAGTCTAACCTTCATTCCTAAAAGCTACAATGCCAGTAGGGGAAGGTATAATAACCTTGATCACCACTTTTAGCAGAATGCAAGAACAAAAACAGAGAAATTGTTTGCTACTCTAATTTATAGTTTTTGGAAGAATAAAAACAGTCTATCTTCTAATGAAATACTACTCAGAGTCCCAAAGGAAAAAAGACAAAAAAGGACTTAGTCTGCAG